TTTTCTTTCGTTCTCCACTCCGTCTCCCTAGTGGGTTGCTTAGGTTTGAAGGAAAGAGATCGAGAACTTCCGTCGCTGTCATTTTCTATAATTACATGCACTTTCTACTTTTTCATGTGTAGGCAACACTAGCTTTGTATGCTGCAAGAAGAACTTCGGGAATTGTTGTTAATATTGGGTTCCAGGTTACTTCAATCGTCCCAAGTAAGCTAACGTATTTTTTATGATCTTTCACCTTTAAGCTAACGTGTATTAATCAAGCGGTTTGAAGAAGCTAATCTTAATGGCTCACATATATTCGAACCCCTCTTTGTAGGCTTAGGGACTTCTCGTCACTAAGGCCTTGAGGCTGTTCCTTCCTTTTTTGTTGAATATATTGACTAAGTTTCTCGTAGAAAGAAAAACGTCATACCATTATGACGTCCCTAAATTAATAAGGAACTAAAAAGACCGAGTGTGCGAAAACCAGCTCTTGAATCTACCCAACTAAAACCACCGCCACCACTGGGATGTTGTTGGCTTGTAGATTAGGCCATGCTATTGCAAGGAACGAAACTGCTTGTGCCGTTGCTTTGTTCAAAAAAGCGCTGCCGTATAGGCTTGTTTGCATACTGACTGGAAGGTGGAACGGCTGTGGATGAAGAGAAAAGGAAAGGAAACGTTGGGATCACACACATGGGTCGTTAAAACAGAGAGGAAATTGTGTGGACTGCAGCCTGTCGGAGACGAAGGAGACATCGTGGAAGCTTGTCGTCGACAGGGTAAGCCACTGGCGACGTGAAAACGAAGAACGAGGATGATGGTGTTGTGGGTGTGTGGGCAGCGAGGTTCACGGACAGAGGGGAAAAGATTGAGGTTGAAGAGCACCAATAGGCAGCTGAAGCACATTATTGTTGTCTGAATCGGGAAACGCCTTATGTCTTATTCCTCTTTCAAGTTCGTTTTCAATTAATAAATAAGATACTAACTCGACCGAGCCTCAAGAAACGAACGGAAAACTAGTTTTAGGAATTTTTACTTTCTGATAAATTATGCAACAACTTATCCACCTGCTGCATCGAAACAAAATTTTCATGTTTTCTTATTCTTTTCATAAACTTTTGTAGTTTTACATGGAAAAGTAATGCGGAAAGTGGGGGTTGAAGTCGTGGGACTGGGAGCTTTAAAGCTTACAGGGCACCTTCGAGAGCTGATGCAACAGAATAATATACGTTTCGAATCAATGTACACCGTTCGAGCATTGAAAGAGGTACGTTAAAGCTTTCATTTCTGAGATTTATGTCGATGAACCATTTCAGTTTTCATGAAATAGATGTACAAAAAAACATCTCCAATGGGACATGAGAGTAGTTAAAATAGGATTTTAAGCTAGAAAATATATCCCGATAGGAACATTGTTCGTGTACGTTGCATCACATCATTCTTTTAAAGAAAAAATATGGAGCGAGAGATCAGGGGCAAAGGCACGAGGATGGTATCTAATGTTCGTTAATTTTTAACGCAGAATCTGTGTTATGTTGCTCAAGACTACGAAGCCGAGTTCTCTAAAGATACTCGAGCATCCTATGAAGCTAATGGGGAAGGTTGGTTTACTCTTTCCAAAGAGCGGTTTCAAACCGGAGAGATCTTATTCCGACCAAGTATGGCAGGAGTGTAAGTCTGACCTCAGCCTTTTAGAAAACATTCTTTGTTAAATGTTGTGTTTTTTTACTTTTGTTCCTATCCGTATCTCAAAAGCAACTTTTTTACTTGAAAAGTCCACGATCGTTCAACGGCATTGGACGCTATTTTCTTTAGAAAGATTACATGGATAATTTGATCGACATATTTGACAAGTCATACACATTTAAACGCTCGAATTTAGTTAATGAACTTTTAGCAGATTCATTGACCCAAAACATTTCTGTTCGAAACACTGATATGTTATTCATTCGTGTCAGGCGCGCAATGGGGCTGCACGAGGCTGTGGCACTTTGTGTGGACCATTGCCATGCTGCAGAACTAACATGTGATGATTCATGGTTCAAGACTGTGGTTTTGTCGGGCGGCAGTGCTTGTCTTCCAGGATTCGCAGGTTCGAATGGGCCGACTTTATTAGCTATGTGTCTTATTTTTTATCGTCCCCGAACTTTTAAAAGTGTCTCTGAACTAACTCTCCTACATGTCATACAACTGTTCTGGTTCAGAAAGGTTGCAGAAGGAACTGTACGGGCTTCTTCCTTCATCCATATCCAATGGTCTCAGAGTCATTCCTCCACCATATGGTGCAGACACAGCTTGGTTTGGAGCGAGGCTTATTAGCAATGTAAGTTTATTGATCTCGTTTTTTCATTACGAAGAATCTTTAAGGTCGTTTCCCGTTTTTCTTTCCGAAGACTGCTTGTTTATGTCTTTGCAAACGTTTCGATCGTTTTACTTCAAATCACTATTCACGAACATATGGCAACTTCACAAACCATGGTAGTTTGACCTAGTGATCAATAGGATTTAATATAGATGCGATGAGTTACCTTGATAATCAAATGTAGTATGGCCAGATGGTGCTTCGATAAGCATAATCGAGATGGGATACAAGCTTTTGTCGTTGTAAAAGTGTAGGACACTCGTTCAACCAAACTAGAGGGAATTGGAGAAAACTTCTTAAAATAGTTATAAAATGTTTCAGCGAGTAGATATTGCCCGCTCGCTTTGGCTATTGACTTCATGATTTTAAAATGCGTCCACTAGGGAGATGTTTTCACACCCTTGTAAGGAATACTTCATTTCCCTCTCTAATTGATGTGGGATCTCCGGGTCCAACGTCCTTGTTAGCACATTGTTCGATGTTTGGTTTTGATACCATTTGTAATAGTCCAAGCCCATTATTAGCAGATATTATCCCCTTTGGCCCTCGGCCTCACGGTTTTAAAACGCGTCTACTAGAAAAGGTTTTCATACTCTTATAAGGAATACTTCATTCCACTCTCGAACTAATGTGAGATCTCACAATCTACCCTCTTGGGGTCCAACGTCCTCTTTGGCACACCACTCGGTGTCTAGCTCTGATACCGTTTGTAACAGCCCAAGTCCACCGTTAGTAGATATTGTCCGCTTTGGCCTTCGACTTCACGGTTTTAATACGCGTCTACTAGGGAGAGATTTTCACACCTGAATTTCACACCACATTTCACTTTGTGTTGTATCTTGCTCATTGCTCATGACAATAAACAAAGTAGTTATGGAACTTAACAGTAAAAAAGAGAATTATAAGGACTAAGAGCTTAACTAAAATTATGTTTTAACCCAGTTTTTATAAGATTCTAAACGGTTCATGTTGTTACACAGCTAAGTACCTTCCCCGATCATTGGTGCATTACCAAGAAGCAATTCCGAAAGTCCAAACTCAACCTCATCTGGTGATTACTCTTCATCTCGGCTTGGTTGTTCGATATTGAACGTAGACGCCATCGTTCGAGTCTTGAGCTCGCTTGAGATATCTCAAAAATAAAAAAGGTAGGAAAATAGCATCCTTGGAACATAAATTATACCTGAAATATATTATGCTAATAAATTAAATACGAACTAGGAGTATAGTAAAATATCGGTTAGTTTACGTGACGTTACCATATTATCCGGTTATAAAGGATAGCTTCAAAATACACATTATATAGACATTCTTCATCACTTGTATCATTCATTTTCTTTTTATCCATATCTTTCTCTCTTGTATTGTAAAATAATAGTGAAAATGAAAATTTACATTTTCTTTAATCACGACTTTATTATCTACCTGAATGATTCAAATACACGAACTAAAGTTCGTGATTGAACTTATGAGGGTAAGTTGGGACTTATCTCGGGCTACTCTCCTCAATCCAAGATCAACCACGATCAAACAATCGTCGAGGATCACTCTAAACTTAATGACGAGGTTTGGTAAGTGGGTTTAGGTGAGAATATTTTTACTAGTGAGATTGAATGTATAGTATTTCTCTATATACGGTTTACACATGGGTGCGTATGAACCAACTAGGTGTGAGCTTGTTAACGTACTGCTGGATGCACATGAAACCACTAGGTGTGAACTTGTTAACGAACTCCTAAGCTTGACTCTGAGACCACTAGGTGTGGGTGTGAGCTTGTTAACGTACTCCTAATGTGCGTGAAACCTTTAGGTGTGAACTCGTTAACGTACTCCTAACATGTGTGAAACCATTAGGTGTGAACTCGTTAACGCACTCCTAAGCTTGACTATGAGAGCTAGTGCGCACTCATGCAGGAATGCGAAACGTATTCAAGGAATCCATGATTATATGACATATAACATGCATGAAATTCGTTAAAATGCTTATCATGATATAAATTCTTTACGAGAGATACTTACATATTCATGGTATCATGACGTCTTACCGGGGATAAACATAATCATAATCAAACGCAAATAAAAGTTCAAAACGTAATTAAAGCCATACTGTACGTGTTATTCATACATATATCAAACAATTTCATCTGACTTGACTCATTCATCTTGAATTTGGTGCATCTAAACGTACACATTCTTGAGTTTAGTTTTACGTGATTCAATTTCATCTACGATACTCCACTCATCCACAAAACATGCTGTGAGCCAACTCGTGGAGCCGACGTCACTAAATTATATTAAATTCAATCATAAAGAGTGTTAAATATTATTAATTGCGGAAAGTAGTAGATATGTTGATCAAGAACGGTTCCAGAATAATTCAAAAGGGTAGAGCCGACCAATTTTTGTTTTGTATTAATTAAATACAAATATAAATGGATTATTTATAGTAATCAAAATGAAATCTAATAATATAATTAAAATATTAATTCGATCTAATCAACTATTTTAATAAAATAAATCTAATTTGATTAACATAATCTTACACTAACGTGTCATTAGATATTTTATCTTCCACGATATTAAATAATTATTTATAAAGTAATAGATAAAATTTTATCATTATATATATATATATATAATGTTTATACGTGGATGTATGTAGGCCACGATCAAAGCAAAAATGGACAAATGGCGCGGATAAAGATGAAGGGGAGTGATATTCATGTAATATTAAAGAGAAAGTCAAATCCAAAAGCTTGGGGTTTAGAAATCAAGGTAAGATTTGTTGTTTCGTTCATTGAATTATTTGATTTTCCTTTTGTTCCTATTTTTTTGGGGGAAATCGTGGAATTTTGAGCCAGTTCAGAAACATGGTGGGTGAACCACAGAAATCGGTATGAGAATCCAATGAAGCAGCAAAGAATCCTCCGGTTTTCATCCCACCAACAGCTAATCTCTTCCAATTTTGTTTCCTTTTTCTTCATTCATCGACGCTAGTGTCCGAAGAATGAGGGCAAAAATCTCTGAACGCCTTTCGATTTCTCTTTCTCGTCGTTGTTGATCCTTCGAGATTCGTGAAGAAGGAGAAGAAGAACAGCGACAAACAAGAGAAGCTTAGTTTACATTACTTCGGACTTCCTTTCCAAAAGTGATTTTCGAGCCGTCTACTGCCTTGATCACGAAGAGGTTCTCATTTTTTTGATTTTTTTTTTGGTCTCGACGATTAGGGTTTATCCAATGGTTCGTAAGTTTTTGATTTCTTGGTTTGTTCTTCCAAGTTTTGAAATGACAACTAATGCTAAAATATGGCCTCGATTAACAGTGTAACAATCTTCTTTTTGTTTGTTGATTCATGTTTAGAGAGATCCTTTTCTTGTTTTGAATCATTTGTTGTTCTGCTTAAACTTGCTTAGGTATTTCTGTCAATAATCTGCAAACATTATCCATGCTGAACACGCAAGGAAGAAAAACTCTCTGTTAGGTTTCATAAGAACAGGGCAATCTTCTTGTTATACAAAATTTAAAAGTTGAGATGCTAGAGGATAGGCCTTTTTCTTTTTGCTTTTGCTTTATGGATTGATTCTTTATCCCCTGTTTTTCGAGGTGTTGAATGATTATTTGTTTCATGGCCATGAACAGAGGCATTGTTAAGTAGTTGGTTGATTCCAAAGCATCATCGCTCGTGTTGTAAATTGGCAATGGGGAGTGTGGTGGGAAAGTTGGAATCTCACAGCGAGTGTGTACCAGAAACAAAACTTGAAGCCAAAATGGTTGAGGCAATAAGACAAAGGGCATCTAAAGGAAGCATCATTAGGTCTTTTGATTGCATAATCTTGAAGTTCCCCAAAATTGATGGTAGCCTCAGAAAATGCAAAACTATTTTTGAAAAGTTTGGTGAGTACTCTATTTGGGTTCTTTAAATGGCCACTTTTAAGTCACTGGTCATCAAATCTTACATTGGTTGGAGAGGAAAACGAAATATTCTTTATATGAGTGTGGAAACCTTTCCCTAGCAGACGCGTTCTAAAACCTTGAGGGGAAGCCTGGAAAGGAAATCCCGAAGAGGACATTGGTTGCTAACGGTGAGCTTGGGCGGTTACAAATGGTATCAGAGCTAGACCAGGACACTCCACCCCTCAAGGGGGTGGATTGCGAGATCCCACGTGGGGTGGAGAGGAGAACGAAGCATTCTTTATATGGATGTGGAAACCTCTCCCTAGCATATACGTTCTAAAACCTTGAGGGGAAGCCGGGAAAGGAAAGCCCGTAGAGGACAATATCTGCTAGCGGTAAGCTTGGGCGGTTACGAATGGTATCAGAGCTAGATACCGAACGGTGTGCTAGCGAGGACGCTGGGCCCCCAAGGAGGGTGGGTTGTGAGATCCCACATTGGTTGGAGAGGAGAACGAAACATTCTTTATATGAGTGTGGAAACCTCTCCCTAGCATACGTGTTTTAAAACCTCGAGGGGAAGCCTGGAAGAGGACAATATTTACTAGCGGTGGCCTTGGATGGTTACATTTGAACCTCCGCTAAAGGTCATTGGAAAATTATTCCATCAGGATGTATGGCGGATTGTTATGAATTGTTGATGGTAATACTTGGAAGTTGTCCTATTTGTAGATGAGGATTCGAACGGGATAATAGATCGTCGGGAGCTTAAGGAATGCTTCGATGGGCTGGAAATTTCGCTCACCCAGGAGGAAATCGACGATCTCTTTGATGCTTGTGATATGAGTACAGCTATGGGAATAAAGTTCAATGAGTTCATTGTACTTCTCTGCCTTGTGTATCTTCTCAAGGATGATCCTAATCACGTATTTACCCTATCCGAAAGCTTTGTTTTATACATTCCCTTTAGTTCATAAAGCTTCTTGCATTCATTCTTGTTTCTCTATGCTCGTCTTCTGTATTCCCTGACTTCAACAGAAATCTCAATTCGGAATGCCGAAACTAGAGGAGACATTTGAATCTTTGGTCGATGCATTTGTGTTCTTGGACACAAACAAGGACGGATATGTAAGCAAGAGTGAGATGGTATCTGCTATAAACGAGACCACATCAGGCGAACGTTCTTCAGGACGAATCGGGATGAGGAGATTTGGTAATGCTCATCAATCCTTTGGTCTTTAGATTTGTATATTGATTGCTGCATCAACGAATGTATTAATGGATGAACTGGGATAAAAATGCAGAGGAGATGGACTGGGATAAAAATGGAATGGTAAACTTCAAGGAGTTTCTTTTCGCGTTCACCCGTTGGGTCGGTATTGATGAGAACGAGGATGGAGAGGAGGAGGAATGAAGCGCAGGATCCCGAACATAATTCTTCTTTTTTCCAGCTGTTCTTCGTTCGATGATGGCGAATCTGTACACACATTCTCATCTCTGATCTGCTGGCCTTCTCAAACAAAACTCAACTGGAAGATCACAATGGTTTAAACGCTTTGGTTGTGAATATTCATGTGTACTGGGAAGAGGAGCCATATAGTTTAAGACGATGTTGTAAAGGCCAAGCCTCAGCCCTTCTACATATGAGGATTGTCTTTGTTTATTGTTCTTCTCCATAACAGCTTTGATTGAACTTCATTGAATGTTTGGGAAAAAGCTGAAATTTCTTTCAAACTTTTCTCACTTGCACTTGACACAATTTTTTTTATTGCCTTTAAATTATAAATGTTGTATTTGATTTTGATCGTTGAATTGCGAATGGTTAAATCTTTTATTACGCTTCTTAAAATGAAAATATATTGGTTCCTAAAATGTGTAGATTGACGTGCTAAAATGTTTAGAAAATGTTGGTTGGGGTCTCCAGAGAGATTGAGAGATAACCGTATGTAAAATGAGGATGTACTGAAATTGAGAATCAAAACGAGCTCACAGATTAACCAATAGAGAAGAAATTGGCGATCACTTTGTTGTCTAATCTTATAGACATTCATTTTATATGATACACACTAACATGATCTTAAATGAACGATTTAGATCAAATCATTTATAATAATTATAAAATAGGTTGTACAAACTTATTGTATATGATACTCGCACTGAGAGAGATTAAATAATTTGAATATAATCATTTGTAACAATTATAAGGTGAGTCATATCCATAAAATTATTAGGATAACGACATCCAACTTTATCCATATATTATAGACATTTCACTGTATTTCATGTTAAGGATCCTTTTATATAGAACCACACCTTGTTTAAGATTACACAAGTACGTCAAGTCCTAAGGCTCAACTTTGTCATTGCTCTAGGTCAAGGTCCTCTCAACACAACGTAGCATTTTATTTCATCATTTCGATTCTCGGCAACACGACTTCCATGGTTCTCAATTTTTAGACTCCATCGAAATGAGTTCGAACCTTGAATCAAGACAGGCTTTTAACGTTTTCTAAAGCTCACTGGGTGATTTGAGCACTCAATACAACAACAAGGGCAGTATTGTGCTAATTAGGAACTATCCCGTCCCTCAAATACTTAATGATTCCACCACAAGCATTGAAAATGTTATATAGGTTTGTAGCTTGTTTGAACGCATTTATCCAGACTCATAAGTTAACTTCATATTTGAAACTTCAGGCACGTCCATCCATTTAGGCACTATTGAGACACATCCGAGCAAAAACTTTAATGCACTACTATTATTATCCTTAAAGCCCTAAGCCACTTTCTACTATCTTAGGTCAACACAAAAACTCACCACCTACCATAAACATAGTTTACACTTACTTTTGTATCAACATGGTTTTCAAAACTTATTTCAAGTACAAAATTAATTTTTTTTACGTTAAAAACAATATAATAATGGGAAGAAATTAAAAAATAAGAACACAACAAGTACAAATAATTTTCTCTACTTTTGGAGATCTTGAAGAGATTTTTCGTTGTCCCATTAAATTATTGGACCGAATTGAGTTCAGAAATAACAAATGAATGGTAACTGATGGAGTTGATGGATCAATGGAAACGCTCACCCACGTGGATTTCGGCCCCCTGTAATGGTCGCTGCTGAGGAAAATATGGGGAGAAATTTACAGGTATAAATACGATCCGGTCTTCAATTTTTCTCTCTTTTCTTTTCTCTCTCCATTTCTCTCGACCCCATCTCATATTATCCTAATTTGGACGATTTTTTTTTAATCAGATTCAACAAATTGATTGTTTTCCCCATCTGGGTCTCTCTCTTTTCCTCCATATTCATCTGTTTCTGTCTTGGATTTCACAGATCGTCTTGGATCGTTGCAGCTTTCTTTGTTTTTTCCCACCTCCAAGGTACAAACCTTGTGATTCTTCTTCTTTTTTCATTTTCGGTTTCATCTTGCATTTTTGGGCTTTGTTTATATGTTGATCGTTCACCTAATAGTTGTTAATTTGGTTCTTTTTGCTATCTCTTTGGTGATTAGTTGAGTTCTATATGGTCTGTGGGATCGGAGGTTTGAGTTTCTTAGATTAATTTGAGATTCTTACATTGTTGGAAGATTTTAGTTGCGCCACGAACAGATTTAGGGCTTTTTTTTAACCCTAATGACCGATTCTCTGCTTTGTTTGGGGCGGGTTTAGTTGAGGAAGGTATTGGAACTATGAATTATCTTATGTGTTCTTCAATTTCAATGGGGGTGTTCATGTTTTCTTTGTATGCAGCTTCGGTAAACTGGAAGGTTCTCATGAACTATGCTTTTGATTGATTGTTTTGGGGGGAGGGATAGTGCTTAAGTGTTTGGATTTTGTAATTAAGGAATCTTGACCATGTTCATACAGATTTGATTTCTAGAACTGTTATGATTTTTGCTATACAGGGAATCGAGTAATTTGTGTCGTGGAACGTGGAGGCGTTCGCACGTAGGATGAATATCGAATGCTTTGTGATTGATTTCTTTTCTTAAATATAGTTTTTGAGATCTTTGATTATAATAAGGAAAGATGATTGAATGTTCTTTCTAATGCTTCGTGTTGTATGCGAATTTATGTGGAAGTAATTACTTGAACTTTTGTAGGTAGAGGTGTGAATTTCTGTTCTTAATATGTCCTATTACCACGGGGACGATACGGATTACATGGCTGATGAGTACGAAATGGAGGACATTGATGATGATATGGATGACGAGTATCGCGGTAGAGAAATGGAAGGCTCGGATTCTGATGCTGATGAATTCAACTCGGTTTGATCTCCTTATAATCTTGAAATTTTTGCGTTCATTTATAATTTCTTGTACGTTATATTTTCTATATCGGCTTATTGAATATTTGATTTCGAAATGGCATTATATACAGAGTAGCAAAATAGTTGATACCACTGCTGCTCAGGCAAGAAGAGGAGTAGATATTCAAGGTATTCCTTGGGAGAGACTTAGTATTACTAGAGAGAAGTACCGGAAAACTAGGCTCGAGCAGTACAAGAACTATGAAAATATTCCTAATTCAGGAGAGGGGTCGGAGAAGGTAAATGATCCCTCCAAACCCATGTTCATCCACCCCCAAGTCATGAGCTATGTTTTTTTATTGTTTGTTCTAATGTTTTGTTTATGGTTTTTCAATGTGATATGAACAGGATTGTAAAGCTACTGAGAAAGGATGTTCATACTATGAATTTTGTCGAAATTCAAGATCTGTAAAATCAACCATTCTTCATTTTCAGGTTTGCTTAATCGTCTTCTGTGAAATTACTGGATTTTTGTTCATCTACGTTCGCCTAAAATTATGCTCCCTTTGTCGAAGTGGATTTCATTTTTCTTTTGTGTAACGGCCTAAGCTCACCGCTAGTAGATATTGTCCACTTTGGGCTTTCCCTTTCGGGTTTCTCCTCAAAGTTTTTAAAACACGTCTTCTAGGGAGAGGTTTCCACACCCTTATAAAGGATGCTTTGTTCTCCTTCCCAACCGATGTGGGGTTTCACAATCCACCTCCCTTCGGGGTCCAACGTCGTCGCTGGCACTCATTCCCTTTTCCAATCGATATGGGACCCCCTAATCCACCCTCCTTCGGAGCTCAGCGTCCTTGCTGGCACACCGCCTCATGTCCAATCCCATTCGGGGCTCAGCTTCCTCGCTGGCACATCGACCAATGTCTGACTCTGATACCATTTGTAACGACCCTAGCTCACCGTTAGCAAATATTGTCCTCTTTGAGCTTCCCCTTTCGGGCTTCCCCTCAAGGTTTTTAAGATGCGTCTGCTAGGGAGAGGTTTCCACACCCTTATAAAGGATGCTTTGTTCTCCTTTCCAATCGATGTGGGATCTCACAATCCACCCCCTTCGGGGCTTAGCGTCCTCGCTGGCACTCATTCCCTTCTCCAATCGATGTGGGACCCCTTAATCCACTCCCTTCAGAGCCCAGCGTCCTTGCTGGCACACCACCTCGTTTTCACTCCCCTTCGGGGCTTAGCCTCCTCGCTAGCACATCGCCCAATGTTTGGCTTTGATTCCATTTATAACGACCCTAGCCCACCGCTAGCAAATATTGTCCTCTTTGAGCTTTCCCTTTCGGGCTTCCCTTCGAGGTTTTTAAAACGCATTTGCTAGAGAGAGGTTTCCACACCCTTATAAAGGATCCTTTGTTCTCCTCCCCAGCCGATGTAGGATCTCACGTTTTGTTTGCATAGTATGACCATTGAAACCAAGATTTCTTGTGTTTGACAATGTTTGCAGCGTTTACTTCAATATTTATGGAATAATCCATTGGTGTAAGCCATGGCATAATCTTCTTCATTTGTATGCTGTACATTTTAATGTTTATTTGAATTTGATACTTATGGCTGAGTCGAACTTTTTGTTGTTCGATAATAGTTGAGGAACTTAGTATGGGCGACATCGAAGCATGATGCCTACCTTTTATCACATTTTTCTGTAATTCATTGGTCATCACTATCGTGCACCAAATCTGAAGTTCTCAATGTTTCGGGACATGTGGCACCTACAGAGGTTAGTGTCTTGACTACACAACAAGCTCGCCATATAATTAATATTTACTCGTGTTGCTTTAAAGTTTAAAATTACGAGTCTGATGTGATTCAGAAGCACCCTGGGAGCTTATTGGAGGGATTTACACAGACACAAGTCAGTACACTTGCAGTAAAAGATAAGCTGCTTGTTGCTGGAGGATTTCAGGGAGAGCTTATTTGCAAGGTAAAGTTGTTTATCAATTTTTATTTTCACTAAAAACCCAATTTCTTGCGTTAATGAAACGTTATCCAAGAAATCCCAATCTGCATAGTCATAAGCTTTTCCCCCAAATCTTTCTTAATAACAACCCCTTCAATCTTTGAGCTCATTAGCCTGGTAATCTTCAATTACTTCGTTAGCAATAAGGACTCATCAACAATTTGCTTGACCGTTTGAGACTCCGGAACAACATTTGAGGGCACTTGCTGAAGTTTATTGTAACAGCTCATGCCCACCACTAGCAGATATTGTTCTCTATTGGATTTCCCTTTTGGGCTTCCTCTCAAGGTTTTTAAAATGTGTCTACTCGATAGAGGTTTCTTATGAAGAATGCTAGTTCTCCTCAGATGTGAGATCTCACAATTCACCCTTCTTCGGGGCCCAGCGTCCTCGCTAGTACTTGTTCCCTTCTCCAATCGATGTGGGACCTCACAATCCACCTCCCGTTCGGGTCCAGCGTCCTCGCTGGCACTCGATCCTCTCTCCAATTGATGTGAAATCTCACATCTATTAACCTCATGCTTTAAAAAACTAAAGACCGTTCTTTTCGAGCTTGGATGAATTAGAGTTATTATTGTCATTACTTGTATCAATTATCATACTGTTTTTACCTTGCTTTATTGCAGCATCTAGACCGCCCGGGTGTTAGTTTTTGTTCCAGAACAACTTACGATGATAATGCTATAACTAATGCTGTTGAGATATATACCAGCGCTAGGTACATTTTTCCTCTCTCTTGGTTAAGCTGGTACTTGCACATTTTTTTCCTTCTGTGAAAGTTACTGAACGTATTCCAAAATTTTCAGTGGTGCAGTTCATTTCACTGCTTCTAATAATGATTCTGGAGTCAGAGATTTTGATATGGAGAAATTTCAGCTTTCCAGGCACTTCCGTTTTCCTTGGCCAGTTAATGTGAGTCCTCTGAATTCTACTTTTCTGTTTTATAAGCAAGTAAATGGAACACCAAGGTGAGATCTCACATTGGTGGGTTGGAGAGGGAAACTGTTTGGCTCAAGCCCAACGCCAACAGATATTGTCCTTTCTAGGTTTTCCCTTTCGGGCTTCCACTCAAGGTTTTTAAAACGCATTTGCTAGGGAGAGGTTTCACACCCCTATAAAGAATGTTTCGTTATCTTCCCCAACCGATGTGGGATCTCACAATCCACCTCCTTCGAGGCCCAGCGTCCTTGCTGGTACTCGTTCCCTTCTCCAATCGATGTGGGACCCTCCAATCCACCCCCATTCGGGGCCCAACGTCCTTGCTGTCACACTGCCTCGTGTCCACATCCCTTCGGGGCTCAGCCTCATCACTAATACAGTCAAGTGTCTAAATACCTCAAGCTCACCGCTAGCATGTTTTATTCTTCTCCCCAACTGATGTGAAATCTCAAGGAACAGAACATTTTTTATAATGGTATGGAAACTTTTCCCTATCAAATGCGTTTTAAAACTTTGAGGGAAAAGCCCCTGAAGGGATAGCCCAAAGAGGACAATATCTACTAGCAGTGGGCTTGGATTGTTACACTTGTGTTCTCATCAACACAACTGGAATGTGGTGGAATCATAGACTGTTAATGTTTTTTTTGGTGGTGTTGAAAGCCACACACAGTTTAGTGAGTAGAAAAATAATGTGCTGTAGTTGCTTGTATGACCCATCAAGATCCTCAGTTACCATTTTAGATTGTTTGTGTCTGTGCATATATTTGTACGCTATCGTATACTTGAGTCACGTATTTGGATCTAATGGGTCTTATAAATATTTCAGCATGGCGCCTTGAACCCAGACGGTAAACTTCTTGTGATAGTTGGTGACAACCCTGACGGTTTATTGGTGGACTCACAAACTGGAAAGGTACTCGTAATAGCATCAGTATGATGATCGTCTTAGTAAATCATTTATCGACTTATTAAGTACGTGATCTTTGCAGACAGTTGCATCTCTATGTGGGCACTTGGATTTTTCATTTGCATCAGCATGGCATCCCGATGGCATTACCTTTGCCACTGGGAACCAAGACAAAACTTGCAGGATTTGGGATGTAAGAAATTTGTCCAAGTCAGTTGCTGCTCTAAAAGGCAACCTCGGTGCCATTCGGTCCATTCGTTATTCCTCTGATGGTCAGTACATGGCAATGGCTGAACCAGCCGACTTCCTGCACGTGTTCGATGTGAAAACCGGATATGAGAAGGAGCAAGAAATCGACTTCTTTGGAGAGATCTCTGGTGTTTCGTTCAGTCCAGACACAGAATCACTTTTCATCGGAGTTTGGGATCGAACTTACGGTAGCCTTCTCGAGTACCACAGACGCAGAAATTATAGTTACCTCGATTCGCTGTTCTGAGTTTGAAAGTTTGTTTTTGGAGAAAAAAAACACAAAAACAAACCTGAGAATAAGTAGCAGCATGCAGTGGGTATGTTGTAAGTGTATATTTAGTATTTTGTGAAACAAATAGTGTTATGTTTTCTGGTTTGATGACACTTTGGTTTTGAAGAGACAGTTCGAGTGTATGCAGAAGGGAGTGTAAAGAAAGGCTTGTGGGGATAATATAATGAATAGATGGCCAGGGTGTCACCTCTTTGCTAATCAGTCATAAATTTCTGTTATTGCAATTGTTGCCCTTTTATTTTGTGCCGCCCCAACATTCCCGTGCGTCCCTCACAATATGTTTCCAAGAGTGAAAACTATTTTCACGTTCAGCTTTAGAGTTCTTATGATTGAGCCACTGAAACTGAAAATGGATGTGCACCTTGTTTGTATAGATAGTAACTTTCAATTCTTTTAAGCTTTTCTTAGTTATCATATTCTTAGGATCGCTCTCATTCAGACGCGGTCTCAGTTCATTGATATAGCTTGAGTACTCGGGTGTAAACTTTGGGACCAAATAAACGAGACTAAAAAATTAGATAAAAAAATCTCTAAACTAAAAAAAGTAGCCAATCAAACCCTTCCATGTCACCTCCAAAAATCCTCTTCTTTCCATCTCATCCTCACAAGCTATATCTCTCATCTCAACTACCTCTATTACTTCAAATATATGATCCTCATCCTCCCTCAATTATCCACTCCTAATCTCAACACAACACAACACAACAGCAATGGCAGCCGTCGCCTCGTCTTCCGCTGTTTTTGCCGCCTCGTCCTTCTCCGCCGCCGTCAGGAGGCAGCAGCCGAACCCCTCCACCATATCATACCAAGGCCTCCGCCCACTCCCGGGGATCAAATCCAGCCGCAGCCTTGCAGCCGTGAAGAGCCCAAGATCCTTGGTGGTGAAGGCAGAGCTGAACCCATCAGTGGTGATAAGCCTGAGCACAGGGCTGTCCCTGTTCCTGGGGAGGTTCGTGTTCTTCAACTTCCAAAGGGAGAATGTGAGCAAGCAAGTGCCGGAGCAAAATGGGGTGACCCATTTCGAGGCAGGCGATGTGAGGGCGAAGGAGTATGTTAGCTTGTTGAAATCTAACGATCCTGTTGGGTTTAATATTGTTGATGTTCTTGCTTGGGGCTCTATTGGCCATATCGTTGCTTATTATATCTTGGCCACTTCTAGCAATGGCTATGATCCCAAGTTCTTCTAATTGTGGTTTGTATAGCTATTATATCAAATCAATCTCTGCTTTAAACTTAATATCTCTAATGGGGTTTTTGTGGAATGATTGGGAAAAAGAAGGTGGGGTAGTTACTTGTTTGAGTATCATTATTATTGCAATGGTTTCATTTTCGATGTTATTATCTTATTATTGTAATGGTTTCTTTTGATAATTGTTTCGTTGTCGCGGACAGTATAGATGACATGTACAAATGACACGAGATAGACGAATGGGTAGGTAAACGTATGTTTAGGAAGGCAATAGAGATAGTTCAAGGGCTAGAGAGCATCCATGCAGGGTAGGTGCTCGTAGGTGTTGGATACTAGTAACCATATTAGATGAAAATAGGTTGTGATTTCCATGATGCAAATAAAATAGTGGCGACAAACAATTGTTGCTATCAAGCTATGTCAAGGGTCAAGACAGAAGTGTAAAGATACAAAAACAGGATGGTGCATGTAACAGCCTAAACTCACCGCTAGCATACATTATCTTATTTGGGATTTCCCTCAAGTTTTTTTAAACGAGTCTGTTGAGGGAGATTTTCATACCTTATAAAAAAATGTTTCGTTCTCATCCCCAACAGATATGCGATCTCACAATCCACCCTCTTCAGGGTCCTGCGTCCTAGCTTACCCTCGTTCCTCTTTCAATCAATGTGGGAGCTCACAGTGCACATCTAACACATTAATAAGAGTGTTTGATAAAGCCAAGCTAAGACACGAACAAAAAACTAAGCTACAATGTCTTCAATAGGATTAGTGAGAAATTCAATGGACGAGGACCTAAGCCATTGCCTCCGAAGTTGGAGTTGCTTATACATTGCATCATGAAGTCAAACTTCTACACGATATGCAAACATAATTTGGAATAAACACGAAAGGATTCATGTTTTAATAGTGTTTAAATAGATAGATATTCAAACGTTTTAAATGATTTTTTTTTTGAATCCGTTCTTGATGAACATATATGAGGGTAGCTCTTTATGGTATAAATTTGAAATTTAAGATGTATAATTATATTAAAAGAGAGATAAAATAATATTGTAAATAATTAAAATTCAATTATTAAATCGGTTACTAGAAATACTCTTATGATTTAATGCCTTGTTTACCTGATCTCTCCAACTATTATTTCTTCTCTTTCAAAGCCATCGATTCTCTGCATTCCACATTCTTGCACCCATCGTCAAGAATTACAGAGGGGATCTCTGAGGTAAATCAAGTTCTATCCCTTTTCATTTTCCAGATTCAAACACTTTCAAGTTTTCTTTCTTGTTAATTCGATTCGATTCGATTTAGGTTTATCGAGCTAGGGGTTTCTCTGGTTTGTGCGACTGCTTTTTCGTTCTTGTTTTACGAATCTAAAGAACTGTTTTCCATTTTCTTTGCGTTTGAAGGGCCGAGGAGACGAGGGAAAAGTCTAGAGATGACTACTGCAGCTCGACCCACGTGGGCACCGGCTAAAGGTGGAAATGAACAAGGTGGCACTCGAATTTTTGGCCCATCACAGAAATATTCCTCCAGAGACATCGCTTCTCATACGACCTTGAAACCCAGGTGCGTATATTTAAGAAATATAATTCTTAGTTGTATTTGGAAGATGGGGCTGAGGGTGCACTTACTATAGTTTGTTGATCGCGTTTGTTCATTAACTTTTCGTGAAGTTGTGTTCTTTGTACAAGGTCTGTCGTTCTTGGTTGTGTTTAATCGTCTATGTGTTTCGACTTCTGAGGGATAATGATTGTACATCCATAATGAACTCGTTGGGGTCTTTGTTTATGATGTGCACTGAGTTTTCTAGTGAGTGTAATGTTCTTAACTGGAATTCTGAGAACTAAATTGGTTTATGTGTGTGCCTTTCAAGTGATTCCATCTTAGGGTAGTTGGTTTTAATGTGGGTGTGATCTGTTGAACAGAATTTTCATTCATTTTACTTGATCTTTGCCAAGGTGAACTTTTTTTTGGATTGTTGGATTCTGATGTTTCCACTTCTTGGATTATGTTAATGGCCCCTACCCACCAATTCTCAAGGAACTTTGCTTACTCTTAGGTTTAACTCCTGGAGACAACAAAGGTTTTTGTACATTAAAAAACTTTCGCCTTATGGTTGAACTCCAAACTTTTGGGGGAGTCTCTCTAACGTCCCGAGTCCTTACCTCTAGGATCACTGTGGGTGTTAAGCCAAGGTGAAACTTAGAATGATGTTAATTGATTGGCTTTCACTGCTGGTTATCCGCATTTATTTTTCTTCACTAAGCAGGGTAATTACCAATTTAATACATAGTATAATTCCTCTAACTCTGTAGATGAATTTCTATTGTATGAACGAAATTATAGAAGGGGATTTAAGGGAGTTACAAATAAATAAAACGTTTTCATTGGTGTGTATGGAAGTTAAAAGAAAGAATTGAAGGTAAGATTTGACTTAGTATTCCATGAGGAGTTTGAAGGGACAATTGAGTCCAAGATTTGAGAAATGGTTCTTTTTTCGAAGTTATAGATTCTTCTTTTACGTTCCAACCAAATATGTCATAGACTTCCAGGATAAATGTCAGCATTCAGTCATAGAATTTCTCTTTAGTGATCATATAGAAAATTGATGAACATTTAATGAATCAAGTAGAAAAGGGAAAATTGAATTGGCAAAGGTTGAAGATGAAGCCCCCAAAGCTTGACCATGTATTCCACCACTAGTTTTGCAAAGACAGCTGGAGCTGGAGCTGCTGAAATTGAAGTTGGTAGAGTCATTGGAGTGTCTTTTGGGATCTTGTTATTTTGGCTTAAACCTCCAAGCCGAAGGTGCTGTTTACCGTCCAGGAAGGAAGGACCTCCATAACATTATACTAAAGGCAAGGAGGAGCTCTGGCTTGCCCTCAGTGAGATGATCGAAGAAAGATTTAATTTTTTACCTCCACAAACTTTGCAATAAATTACATTCTTGCCTATCACTTCTATCTAACCATTCAATGAATCCTTCACAAACGTCATGAACAGCTTTAAAGTCTCTATATTGGAGAAGAGACTGCCATCAAAAAGCTCACACAATCGTAGCTAATCTGTACTTTAACCTATTATTACAAATGAGGCATATCAGCCATGTCTCAAAATGAGAATTGACTAATCGATTTATTATTGGCTAATGGCTATTTTTCTTTGTTTTATGTTTCCTTGGATATGGTGGTGTTACTTTTCTTCCATGATTTTAAGTCTCTAATCACTTGTCATTAATGATGCATGTAGGAAGGAAGGACAAGATACCCATGATGAATTGCAAAGGAGGAATCTCAGGGACGAGTTAGAAGATCGTGAAAGGAGGCATTTTTCATCAAAGAATAAATCATATGGTAAAGACATCCATTCTTTAGAAAAATATAGAATAATTTTTTTGTTTGTTTTCGTATCATTTCGTATGGTTTTGTTCAAATATCCTTTTTCCATACTGTTGTATGACATGTTTGCAACGAGTTGATCATGTTTCACTTGCATAATTTGCAGATGATAGAGATCATAGAAAAGGAAGCCAACTTCTGTTAGAAGGTTAATTCATCAGTTTCTGTATGCTTACATTTATTAACACATTCAGTAATTGTTTACTTAACCAGTTGTTATATATGTTTATTAGGCGGAAAGAGAGATATTGAAGATCGTATTATTCCACGAAGTTTAGATGCTGACGATTCTGATGTGGACGTGAAAAGTGACAACGAGAGGTTGGTTGGTTTGCTGGTTGGCTGGTTGGCTGGTTGGCTGGCTTTCCATTTTATTAATTTACTAATAAAACTATTTTCCTAGCCTTTTTTCTCTATACTTATTAGAGATAGCTTTAATTGCTTCGGCTTTTTATAATTTGAATCCTTGGTCCAAGATCTGGTAGACTAGTTGTATTGGGGTTGAGTATTGAAGTATCTCTAATGTTGTATAGCAGTGACGATGATGAGGATGACGATGATGAGGATGATACTGAAGCTCTTTTGGCAGAGCTGGAACAAATAAAGAAGGAAAGAGCGGAGGAGAAGCTTCGAAAGGTGAGCCTTTTGTCTATCTAGATAGCGTCACGATCTGAGTTGTGCTTGCAGAACCTTTATTTTTCTCCAAGATTTAAAAAGAATGCACCATGAGTCAAGTGATTAGTAGCTGGGATCACTTCAAGTGGTCGAATCTTTTAAGACTAACGAGCTCTGAAATGCAGAGTTTAAATTTGGTTTCATCAGTTGCTTAAATCTGCATTACGATGTATAGGAAAGACAAGAGCGAGAGGAAGAGCTTAAAGTCAAGGAAGCGGAGTTACTCCGAGGAAATCCACTGCTTAACGAGCAACCCGCCTCTTTTAGTGTCAAAAGAAGGTCAGTTGGCCTAATTTAACCATTTTTTCACAACTACTATGAACATCTATTCTGATGATGCAACTTCCTGTTGGCTTTTGGGTTAGATGGGACGATGATGTTGTGTTCAAGAATCAGGCCCGTGGCGAAACAAAGACTCCTAAGCGCTTTATAAACGATACCATCAGGAACGACTTCCACCGAAAATTCTTGCACAAGTACATGAAGTAACATGGTTATCAAAATCTACTGGCGTTAAAGGATTCAAGTAAGTTCGAGTGGAGACTAAAACTGTATATTTGTTTTATCCGCATTACATAATTCGTAGTGACCTTCAGGTACCAGCCTCTATGAAATATGCATTGAATATTTTCAGTTTGCCTTCTGAATTAGATGAACTATAAGGATCCAAAACTATGTCAAACGAATGATTATTAAAATGCTTTCATGAGAACCTGTCTTAGCTCATACTTTAAATAGCAATAATGATGGTTGATCTCCCAAATATTGGATTGGCTAGGACCCTGTACTTCAAATACTGTAGCCGAGGACCCTGGCTAGGAGAATCCAGACTTCTTGTAAGCCACAGTTCTTTCACCAAATAGAGCTTTGCAAGTTGAAACATGTATACCGCTCTAAAGATCGATGAGAATGTTCAAATTATGTGAATATAGTACAGTAACCCGATTCGAAAAGAAGTTGAGAGATGTTTGCTTAAACTTTTAGGTTCAGTGGAACTTTACTAAATGATTTCAACGATGTAAAATACCGAAACAAAGACTTGGTCTCAGGTTCGGTATTGATCTCGGACTTCCACCAAACAAATCTCGGCAATACTGCAACTTCGACTGCTTGAAATAGCCTTAGATCGTTAAAGTAATCCTTACTCCTTTCTTTGAATGGTCTCTTTGAAACAATACTCAATTGTATTCATCAATGTTTTGTCCAATCCTTCCCAACTTGGACAACTAGTTGTAGATGTTCGGGTGCCTTTCCAGCTTGGTTCGAGAGAGGCGAAATGCCGATGGATCTTCGGGAAGACTTGTGTTACGACAGCTTACCGATTCCATTGGGGAATTTGTTCTACAACTATGTCTCACTATGTGGCTAGACTGTACTCGGAGCTGTATAAAAAAAATCATTGAAACAAACTGTGAATCGAAGATCATAACAAATGGTTGAAGTACATGTACAATAACAGTTTGATTGGTATCAATTTATTATGTACTTATAAATTCCAATTCAATGAAGTAATTAATTTCCATTTTTACTAAATTATGAACTTAAAATTACCAAATTTTTTTATAAGGATGGTTGAGAATACTTTATTTTGTACCGACATAATATTTTAAAATGACCTATTTGAATTTTTATAAGGTTATTTTATAAAATGAGTTTGATATTATTTTTCATTTTAATTTGAAATACTTGGGTTAATAATTAAATTATTCCTAAAATAAATTTTATAATTAATAGCGTCATTTTGGTGAATTATATATACATTATCAAAATAGAGAAAATATTAATTTATAAAAAATATATAAATTGGAGGATCATCGTTAGAAAAATAAACATTTTGTAGGAATTCTAAAAATAATAAAAACTGTTAAAAAATTGAATTTAATAGACCAAATTGATAAATACCATTTTCGAATTTTAAAATTGAATTAAATATAAAAATAAAAGATTTGTTCTTATTTTCCACAAAATTCTTTGTTTTTAAAAACAAAATTTTGAAACATTAATTGGAGTATTTGGTGTAATTTGTTAATTTTTTTTAAAATATATTAAAAATATTATAATATATATTTTATTCACAGTTTAAACCCTAGCCAATTCCACTTCAGATACCTCGTGCCGCTTAAACCTTCCCTCTCCCGCCTAAACCCTCCTCAGCCGTGCCGTTCAGTGCCGCCGCCGCCGTCGTCATTCTCGAATTTGCTTCTCCTCCGTGCTGCGTCAGTCTTCGTCGAAGGTTTATAATGTCCGGTGAAGATAAGAACTTGCATAGTATGTCGGAGTCGGATTCCGAACAAGAAGATGTTGGCAAAGAAGGCATTGAATGGATAATGAACCTTCCAGACGTGCCGATGAAGCTCCCACCACATGTAGAATTGCAGAGGACTCGCGTCGAATGCAAAGCCGATGCTCCCATTCATGTACCCTTCTCTTCCCTCTCCCATGTTTTGTTTGTTTTGTCATCTTACTCTTTTTCATTCGAATTCTAAGAATGATGTTCAATTCAATGAAGTAAATGTTTTGTTTTTGTTTGTCTTTTTTTTTCTTTTAGATGCGGAAGCTAAGTAGAATCTTGTTCAAGTCTTTGCTCCTAAGCTTGAGGAACTATTCTTTTTAAGACGTTTAATTTAGTTATGTAGTAGGTTGAAATGCATGAATAAATATCAACCTATTAAATTAAGTTTCATGTTTTTGGAGAGAAGCGAATTTAATGGTTATGACTTTGTAGGTCTATATTGTTTTTCCATCTCTGTGCTTGATTTTTATTCATAGAATGTGTCTGCCTATGCTTGATACTGTAATAGGGTTGTTTAAATTTTCTTCTCATGGTCCTTGTGGAAAATGTTGTCTTTTGTAGACGGATACGATACAGTATTCTGGAGCATATGCTTCGTTGGGTATTGATAACAGCTTACGACTGGATTCTTTTCGCAAGAACTTCAAAATTGAAGTGATTGATCTCAAAGAGGATGACATGGAATTCGACATGATTGGCATTGACCCATCCCTCGCTAATGCATTTAGGAGAATCCTGATAGCTGAGGTAGGTAATCAAGCACATTGAATTAAAATTAAATTACTTGTTCTTTTTAGATAGATTTTTTATGGACTTTTGGTATATGCCTCCTTGTCACCAATTCTGGTGTGCTACTGTGATTAATATATCAAAAAGCTCTTGAGATTTAGCTTGAAGGCCAGATGTAAATTTGTAGTCCCATGATTGCCCATTTGCTTCATCTGAAGCCTGTGTTTTGTATGGAAGAGACATGCTCACATGATAATGTATGGAAGTTTGGAGTCTCCGTGCCTTATGTAATGGTTAGAAGAATAACTTTGGAATATCGTCTATTCTTCAAAATATGGAAGTTTGTTCATGTTATCGAATCTCATGAATTAGTGATTTTGGTGATAATGGCTTGAGCTACTGGAGTTGTCTTGTTAGACATGACATGGTCCTCGGTGTACATATTATTTCCTTTTCCATTGTAACTTAAAGAAACACCCAGACGAAAGTTAGGAATGGGGCAATCCCATTAACTTCAATGATGATGCTATTGAAATTGAACTTCAGGATTTTCGTTTAAAGAAGTGAAAAATTGATAGAAGTGAGACTTTTTGTTTTATAATAAAATAATAACTATCATGACACAGTTTTGCCTTTTTTCTTCCCTCAATATTTTTTGATTAAATTAAGGCTTATGCCTTGTCTCTCCTGTTGAAAAGCCTTTGGGAATGCTTTTAGACCCTGTTTGGGATTAATTTTACAGGCATTAAAAGTGACTATGGTGAAATTTTAACCCTTTTATTCTCGGGTAAATCTGCTTATTAAATAACCTTAAGAAAACCACTTTTAAAATTACTTCGATCTGTGAAGATCTGTTTTCTGTAGCTTTTAGGATTGACTTCCCAAAAAATATGATAGCTCTTCTTACTAACTTTCCATAATTTCCAGTTTATCCCATATTATTCTTGTATTTCACATTTAAGTTTGAAATTTATACAACGCTTATTTACTAAATATTACAACTAATATTTCTGAAAGCACAGTTGACAATTATTTTAAAAGTTGTAGCTATGCCAAACTAGCCTTAGTCTGTTAGAGCGTTCCATGTGATTAGGGATGTTTATTAATGAATGGATTGTATGTATTTTTTCTGTTGGGATTTTTCATATGAAATTTCCTTCTATGTTAACAATTACAATATTTACATTCTTGCTATGCTGATATGGGTTTGATCTACCTTTTTATGCAGGTTCCCACTATGGCTATTGAAAAAGTATTGGTTGCTAACAATACATCAATAGTCCAAGATGAAGTGCTTGCCCATAGGTTAGGTCTCATCCCGATTCGTGTTGATCCAAGGCTTTTTGAGTACTCAGGTATTTGTGTGTATGTATCTGTACATCTAATGTGCTTATTTCTGCTGATACTGGAGACTTTTATATGCATGTTAAGAAATAATTTCTATTTGGCTGACCCTAATACATTCTGAATACGCTTAACTAATAACTTCTGTTCAAAATTAGATAAAGACACGCCAAATGAGAAAAATACAATTGTTTTTAGACTCCATGTTCGCTGTGAACGTGGAAAACCTCGTCTTACCGGTATTTTTTCTGTTTCCTTTATAATATATGCTAAAATTTCATAATTTTAAACTTTTTTCAATATTTTCTTGTTTCACTACTAATGCTGAATGTATAATGGGTGATTCAGCGACTTCAGAAGCATTGACATGGCTACCAAATGGTAGTGAATTTCCTTTGGTATCTGATAAATCAGTTTCAAACTCAAAGCCCAAAACATATACTTCTTTTAGTTGCAGCCAAGACACGCTGCCAGAATTTGCCAACAATCCAATTGGTCCAAAGGACGGTGATATTATACTTGCTAGACTCAGCTCGGGTCAGGTAACTGACCCGAAAACTTTATCTATTTTCTGTTGAAATATTGGGAAGAAGTGGTGTGCATGGGTAGATGATCAAAGCTGATGAGTTATGCTATAATGTAACATGTCTTAAATTTAAATTGTGTTTTGTACTTGTAATTTTGTTTGCAAATAATCGTGGAGCTCTGTAGGTATTTTAGGTTAATTGAAGAAGCAAATTTGGTATAATCATTACATATGAATATGAAATTGGCATATATAATTTATAACTGGAGTTGATATCACTTCGTGTATGTGGTGCTTGTGCTACCAGACTAATTATTTATACTGCAAGTACCTTCACTTCCAATTGAAATCCATTTTGGCAGTTCCAGTTCCAGTATTATAAATTTCTTTGTACCTTAATATATTGTAATTTTCATATTAGCAAGAAAATAATATTTATAATGGAATTACTCCCGAAGCAATGGGATGTTTGCTATGCTATGATTTTGGGTATATTTCAGTGCTTCATGTGCTATTTTTTCTGAGTAGTTAGCAGGTGTAAGTTTCTTAATTTTTGTTTCAAATATTTATAGGAAATTGAACTTGAAGCTCATGCTGTTAAAGGTATGGGTAAAACACATGCTAAGTGGTCTCCAGTGGCCACTGCTTGGTACAGAATGCTTCCTGAGGTAAGAAAATATGTTAATTTGTTACTCAAAGATACATAGATGTTTTGAAGCCCTAACGAAAGTTGTGATATTAGGTTGTACTTCTGGAAGAGATAGAGGATGAGTTGGCAGAAGAACTCAAAAACAAATGTCCTGTTAATGTCTTCGACATTGAAGATATAGCTAATGGTTAGTTTGCTTCATACATAGGCTATTAATTTATGTTTGTACTTGGAACATTACGGTGGTAATGTTTCGGTGATGGGAAGGATTCTTTAAGATTGAAGTTCTTGTTATGTATGGGCCTCTTTGATGATGTTCCCATTGCTTGTTTCCTGTTCACATTTCTCATATTTTAAAAAACAAGTTTGTTTTTGATAATCATTCTCATTTCTTGTTTCTAAAATTAAAAAAATGTATCTAAAGTTGGGGCCAAATTTCAGAAGCTACAAGAAGTAGTTTCAATGTGTTCCATTTCTTTCCTCCCGTCTTCCATTCCTTTTCCACAATTTTCTAGGGCTCTTTCTTCAAGCTTTCTCCTCTCTCAAGCATAGGCACATACACCTGAGGGGTAAAATTTCTGCTCGATATCTATTCGATTTCTCGTCTTCTGTTTCCTCTTTGATTTCTGCTCTGTTTTCCGCCTTCTTTTTGTTCATTTAATTCTTTGAAAGAGTATTTTGAAATTTCCTCGAGTGTTTGATTCTCCAGCATTCTCTTCAAATTTGTGCTCATAAATTAAATTTCTGCTGATGTTGTGCTGGGTTTTAGTATGCGTTTTGTGAGTTTGATGTGTTTTGTTTATTTTATGGTATTCTGTGGCCGACTATGGAAAAATATGTTTTTTTGTGTATATTTTGTTCTGGTGTATGCCTTTCTTTTATTTTTCCTTGATTTTTCATGCTTCTATACTGTCTTGGAACAAATCACTAGTGGAGCTTCTTTTTCTTCATTTGGTTGGTTCCAATCATTCTTGTCACTTGGATCCCCATTGTTGTGCTGGTTTACTTCCTTGGGAAGTCTAACAGGGAGGGGAGGAAGATTAATGAAGACTTTTGGAGTTGTGGCTAAGATTTGTTCAAGGAAGTGAATTTGGTGGCTGTTGCTTGTGCTGTTTTGGGATGCTTCGCTTTGTGTAGGAAGACTAAGGAGAGTTAGAGTTGCTTAATCCAGGCTGACTTTTGGATTCTGATGGCTAATTTGGGTGGGGTAGAGGAAGGATTTGAGGTTTTGGATCAAAAGGATATTTGGGATTTCTGATGAGGGTTAGATTTGGTAATTGTTTTTGTTCCTCTATGTTGGTTTTCTGACATTCTGTGGCGGCGATGGTTCCTGATTTGAGGTATTAATGGGTTATTTAAGCTTTATTGAAAAGAAGAAACAAGAAAAAGTTACCCAAGCTTTTGTTTCTTGGTTTTTCTTTTTCAAGAAAGAAGAAACATAAATAGTTATGAAACATATTCGCGTTTCTAGTTCTAAAAAAAACAGGAAACAAGAAACAATAATGTTATCAACTGGGGCTTATATAACTAATTTCCCTACTTTTTGGGAGTCTTATTTATATCCTAATGGAGTTTTAGCCTTGAAACTTTTCAAATACTGACAGAAAGTTGTCTTTCAATGAAAAACCAAAAGAGAGTCAAGTTTTTATCCTCTCCCTCGGTATGCTATATCTCCTGCATCCCTTTCATTTCTGATGAATAGATGATGAGTTATTTGGTTCTTTCTTATATTGCAAAGATGGATTTCAAATGGTCGCATGTTGTTGGTCTATTTTTTCCTAATTCAAATTGATTCCTTTTTCTCCCACACTTAATTATTGTAAAATTTTGATTTGTAGGTAAGAAAAGGGCAACTGTTGCACGTCCACGAGCTTGCACATTGTGCAGAGAATGCATAAGAGGAGAAGCATGGGAGAAACGTGTCTCATTGCGTCGGGTGAAGGATCATTTCATTTGTAAGTTATGGATTTATATGCACAACTTAGATGGTAGAACTAGACAGGATAAATAATGGTGCTGATGGTCGACACATCTTTTTTTTGTTGAAGTGACGTTTTTCAAAATCACTTTTAAACATTATAAGTCCAAGTAGAAAATGTATTTTTGTCACAGAAAAAGATTCTTTTAACTGGGTCAAACATACTCCCAAATAAACACCCTTAGTTATCTTTGTTAATGGTTTCAAGAAACTCATTCCTCATTGATTATGTTCATTTTCGTCTTTCCTTTCTTCTGCAGTTAAGATTGAATCAACAGGAGCTTTACCTCCAGAGGTGCTGTTCACTGAAGCTGTAAAGATTTTGGAAGATAAGTGTGAACGTTTAATTGCTGAGCTCTCTTGATAATTCCTGTCCAAAAGAGATGAACGTGTACATTATTTCATCTTATTCAGCAGTCATCAATTTTTGTAATATAGGAGGTTTCATATTCTATTTTTCTTTTTAATTGACAGTAGAATAGTAAGTTTTGCTGATCTCTCTTGATTCCTCCTAGATTTTATGAATGCCAACTTGGAGGTGATCGAATAAGAGAATGGACAAAGATAATGTTATTTCTTCAATGGAAGTTTTAATTATCATCAATTAGTCCTTGGATGTGGAAGGAAAATACCTCAAATTTTCATTCTGGAAAAAAAGGTTTTGGATATTCTATCAGATCCATTTGCGAATGGTTTATATCTAAGTCTGTTTACTTCTAAGGAGCTCAAGTACCCAAGATCTTTGGGTACTTAAATTTATAGAAATGTAAGCTTGTTATACTTTCTGTTATTTAGCTTATTAAGATATGCTGGAATGTTTAAATATTAATGTTTATTTGATGTGATTTGTTGATGACAGTCTCTATTATAATAGATGATGTTGTAAAGAGCAACCATTATTTGAAGCAAATGGCTCCATTTTGGTCTCCCTTTTCTCTTCCTTTTTAGGTGATTTCATGACCGAGATCCTACATTGGTTGGGGAGTAGAATGAAACATTTTTTTATAAAGGTGTAGAAACTTCTCTCTTGCAGACGCGTTTGAAAAAACCTTAGAGAGAAAGCTTAAAGAGGACGTGGTTGAGTTCTAAAAGGGGTGGATATGAGGCAATGTGTTAGTAAGGACACAGGGTTTTGAAGGGGGTGGATTTGGGGGTCCCATGAACGAGTGCTAGCAATGACGTTGAGGTGGATTGTGAAATCCCACAATGGTTGGAGAGGAAAACGAAACATTTATTATAAGAGTGTAGAATCTTCTCTTAGCAGGTGTGTTGAATCGGAGAGGAAAAACTCAAAGAGGACAATATCCACTACCTCTGCTCTATTTTCCTTTTTTTATGCTGCAATATTGTCTCGACTTAATTTTTCTTCCCACCAAAAAAAGAAAAAGAAAAAGGACGCTTTATAGGGTAGAAAACGTATTGCAATTATGTGCCATGAGGTTAAATCTTTAAACTTTTTGTCTTTTGTGCATGTCTTTGATTTTGGAGCGTAGCATTCATTTTTATTCACGAACTAGCTTGGTCAATCCAATCTTGAAAAAACACGGGATCTCGGGAAGAGTCGAAGATGTCGAGTTTGAGCCGGAGAGTTAAAGTTACTTTCAAAACCATACATTCCTACTGTTTACACATGTACAGTGGAACGCCGCTCACAGCTATTTCACCGACGTTCATCTAATTAAAAATGTTAACCATATATAATTGTTGAAATAACAAAAGTTCATTCAAACCGCTTATGTAACTTGAAAATTTAAGAACCGAACTACTTAAATTTGGCATATAAGTTAGGAATCTAAACGGTACTTGTTCTTGAAAGAGCTCCAACATAGAAGCGTGCGAGAATAGTAGAATATAAAAGCTTTCTTGAATTGACAACGACCAACCACAAAAGATAAAGTTTCTATTCTTAGATTTTTTTTAAAAAATTTAATTTCTTCTAATAATTATTATTATTTAAAAAATAAAAAACAAAAAAAGAGTTAAAAATTATTTCATATTCCTCTTAGATACCCATTGACAAATTGGAATGCATTTGATGATGGCATCACATTTGATTCTTTATCAACATTATTAGAATCCATCTTTTATGAGTTGAGTCTTACCGAATCCGATGTCGATTGGGTAGGGACGTAGATGACTTTTCCATGTCTATTCCCGCTACCTATTTTAATCATTTTAATCAGTAAAAAAATAATATTCTACCACTAGTATAATTTTTAAAAATTTAAATTTCAATATTACAATATAGCTAATAATAAATTTATCGATCAATAATTGAGGTGAGAGGAGGAAAAGACGTTGGACTAGAGAATATAATTTTGTCTTCATCCTCGTCTAATTTCCGAATATTAATGTATTTTTAAACAAAATAAAAGGTTCACCGACCGTCCTAATTTTTTTTTATTAATATATAGTTATTACTAATAACGTCCTAAAAAAATCGTTTTAAATTTTTATATATATCTTTCGTCTATCATTTAGTGACGACAATCATGTGAAAACGTAACGAATCAATATTAAAACATAAAAATGAAAAAAAAAAAAAAAAAAAAAAAGAAATATTCTACGAACAATAGTGAAGGGCTTCCCATGTCTTTATAATTCAAAAGAGAATATTATTATTATTAATAATATATTATTATTTATTAGGAATGTATTCTCCATCCACACCGCCCCATCTCCGAAATTTGTCATTTTTTTAATTTTATATTTATAAATTATTAAAACTTTAATTAATAAAAATAACTAAAGCCCTGTATTATAAATTTTAAAAAGTTTCATTAATATATTATAATTTTTTTAAAAAAGTTTTAAAATACTTATATTTAAAAAATACCTATGAAATTTTAAAAATAGCATCGAGACCTTTTACTTTATAAAAATTTCATAATAATTATTATTTCATAGATTATTTCTATTGGTTTGTTCGAGAGCTTCAAAGAAAAGAGTCGAGCCTTAATTAAGGGGAGACTGTTTGAGAGCTCCATAAGCCTCAAGAGAGACTTATAATGAACTTTGTTCGAGGGGAAGATTATTATTGGGAGTGAGTCCCACATTGGCTAATTTAGTGGAAGATCTTGGGTTTACACGTGAGGAATACTATCTTTATTGGTACGAGGCTTTTTGGGAAAGTCTAGCTTATGCTGAAAGTGAACAATATTATACCATTGTGGAGATCAACCCTTAATAAGGAACAGTATTTTTATATCTAGTCGTAACTACGGGTATAAGACATTCCTGACATCACCGTCTTGTGTTGCCCACCTAAATATTAATACTCGTCGAAAACACTATAATCTCACGAGACTCTTAAAACCAGATTGAAGAGCAACCGATACCTTATCAAATCTAATACATTCGAGTTGAACGATCAAAAAAGGATGAAGTTAAATGGACGGTGGACGTGACATGGCATGTGAGATAAATGAAAGGGCATGATAGTCTCCTTGGCCCTATTGAAATATAATATGTGATGGTTATTGTTAGAATTGCATGTGGGGATTAGATTAGAGCATTATAAAGCCACTTCACATGCCTATCAATAATTTCCCAATATAATTCCAAATGATAGAAATAAAGTATATAACTAACTAAATCTTGTAAATAAATAAAATATACGATTAATCAAATTTATACTAACAACTCCCTAAATATATCATATATATTCTAACTAATATATCTTCAAAATAGCCTCTTAATATTATATAAACTTATTGTATAGGATAACCTCACCACACGAACGATTTGAATCAAATTGTTCATAGTAATTATAAAGTTAGTTGTATCAATAGACTAAGATAAGACACCCTACCTTATCCACATAATATGAACCCTTTCGGTGCAGCACTCGAACCCTAACGAGAAATTTAAAACTTGAGTTTTTCCTTTAAAGTTGAACTTTTTGGGATTTTATTAGGAGGGTTAGAGACTGAATTTGAAAACTATTTAAACAAATCACTCGAATTCAGGAAGAATATAAAAATAAATAGTGAAAAATTAGAGGGATAAATTGGTCATTTTGGTAGACCCATAACCCACAAGTCCGAAGATCGAAACTTGACTCTGATATAGAGATGACTTTTATTTTGTTAAAATTCTAGCTTACGTACATATCATAACATGTATAGAAACGAATGAAACGTTGTTATCACTGGAAGATCGGGGCCGGGTAGAAATAATTTAATTATAACAAAATAAAAGCATATTGGATATGGAGATGGGAATATTAGTGGACGGGTCATTCTTTGTTGGATTCCAATTGCAATATCAAATCAACATATGAAATAATTCCACAAAATACATTCCAAGAATTTGGTAGAAGAATAAACCCATTCTTATAAACAATGTTTAAAATATATATAATTTTAAAATTTCAAAATAAAAAATAATTTTAATATTTAAATTAATATATTTTAAAAATTGAAAAAATGAAAAAATAAAAATAAAAAGATTTTATTTATTTTTTCTAAATTTTTTAAAATTTAAAAAGTATTTCTTCAAAAATGGAAAACAATAAACCTTGAAACAAGCAATGATAGCCAAATGCATATATTTCCCAAAAATAAGAATAAAAACAAAGAAAGAAATCCAGAATTAAATAATTGATTAATTAACTTTGTTTTTAATTCTTTTCCTTTTTTTAAAAAAATCAAATTACAATTATTAATATATATATATTTGTTTAAGAATCTAATGAATTTAAAATTTTAAATTAGAGGGTTTTTGTTTTTTTTTTTGGTAAAATTAAAATTTTAAAAGCATGGAAAAATAAAATCACTTATTATTATTATTATTATTATTAGTTTTAGAATTTAAATTACAAATTTGATATTTAAAATTATAAAATAATGAATTTCAACATTTTATAGAAATTTACACTCTTTTATCTTAATTTTGAAAAAAATTATATTTAAAATGTTGCTTTCTTGTAGCTGTTCTTTTCAGCAAACAGTATTGATTGGCAGAGGATTTTGCTCTTCAATTTAGATTTTAAATCGCGTTTCTTCAGATTTCAGTTTTTGCAAAGCGATTTCCCTCTCGTTTTCACTCTCTTCTTCAAATCAAAATGTTGTTTTCACTCTGATTCTCCCTCCCATCACATGTCAAGATTCGGGTGAACTGTGAATCATCACTAATTTTTCACTCGGAGTTCAAATCCAAGGGGGAAAGAGAGAGAGAGAGAGAGAGAGAGAGAGAGAGAGAGAGAGAGGATCATCTTTGAATTTGAAGCTAACCATTTCTTTTTTGTTTTCATATCTTTGTGATTCCTTCTCACTTTCTGGTCCAAGTTTCTGGAAAAGGAAGGTGAAGGAAGAAATGGGTATCGCCAATCAGGATGCTATGAAGCAGTTTCAACTGCTAATCAATGAAGGTGATCTCTAGCAACTTAGTTTGGTCTTGTTCTGTGATGTGTATTTGCTAACATTTTCCTTCCTTCATCGCCAAACAGTCGATGGATCACTGAAGAACTCGTTTGAGGTTTGTTCTTTGATTTTTGATCTTTATCTACTGCGATCTGTTTTTCGATTAGATGATGGGAATAAAACAAAATGTAATGCGACATTGGAGGTTTTCGATCTTAAACTACTGTTTAGAGTTAATTTCTCGATAGCAGCTTGAGTTGTTCATTCGTAAAATTCTGTGCGACTTAGATCTGTTTCTGTGATGGCACTGCGTTTATTAATAAGAACGACATTCATTCTTGGTAGGAAATGGGGCTGCCTTGTAGTTGAAGCTAGAACAAATTTAACCAGTCCAGAGAAATCAATTCATTCTTGTTTATTTTCTATTTTTTTAATCAAGATCATGATTTAGTTGATCTGGGATGTTCACTTACTTGCTTTTACACAAAAAATGTTCCATCTCAGATCAAGTTTTATGAGTTCTATGAGAAGAAGATCAAATTGTTGTTTGACTGGACCAGTGGTGATTCGTTGGTTTCTGGTTGAAGTAATTGAAGTTTTGGATTGGTAAAAATGTTGGAAGGGTTAGATTTCTGGGTGTAAAACGAATGCAGCTTCCTTCTTGAAAAGGATTTGAGCTTGAATTTTAACAGTAATAATAAGAGAAACTTATGTGGGATAATTATATAGACTACTTCCTCACGGATGAACTGTGACTGTCTTATTATCTCCAGAATATGCATCAAGGACATCCAGAAGAAACTTTGGAACGCTTTCTCAAGGCAAGGGACTGGAATGTAGCCAAAGCCCACAAAATGGTTAGATAAGTCAGTCAACTTAGGAGTTTTAAATTTTGGATAAATTCTTTTAAGTATTTTGTTTATTCCTAACTCACTTTTAGTTTGTTTTTTCTCCCTCTTTTGCCTCCAAATCTTCAGTTAATAGATTGTCTACATTGGAGGATACAAAATGAGATTGACAACATATTGTCAGTGAGTTCTTTTTCTTCTGTTATTGTTAAATAAGTGTGTGATATTTGCTATAATTATAATACCTTTTATTCCCCCAACTGATGCATATTGTTATACATTTTTATTTCATCAGTAGAAGAAGATTAAAAGAATATAAATGTAGAAACAACCATTACTACCACCAGCAATGGCTGGAACGTGAGAAGTCTAAGCATCTTGTTTGTGGTTCAATGCCTCAGAAGCAAGAAAATGGACTAAAAATTTGAAGTCTTCAGTAATGAAAAAATGGCAAACGTAGCAATTGCCGTAATATTATGTCTTCGTTATTTCTGCAGTTACCATGCTAGAGTCTAAATTTCTATTGATATTTTGATAATCTTGATGCCCCAGTCTTTTAGTACAGTTGTATCTCTCTGTGAATCTTTTTTATAATGAGAATCTCTCTGTAGTTAGTTTTTGGGCTCCCTCTTGCATTCTTGGTTTTTGGTGGGCTGTCTTTTTTCATATACCCTTGTTTTTCTTTCATTTTTCTTACTGGAAACTCAGTTTCTTACCCAAACATAATAACTATATTGACAATAGCAAGCAGAGATGGTACAATACTTCTCATTATTATTATGTGTTGAAGTCTAAGGTTCCTTTTGGCTTTACATACTTGTACAACATTTAGTTTATATCTCGTGTTATTACAGAAACCAATCATTCCCCCTGAGCTATACAGAGCAGTACGAGACTCTCAGTTGGTAGGATTGTCTGGATACTCAAAAGAGGTACATAAATAGAATCATGTTGTTCTTCAATATTTGATCTTTAACACATTTTCTAGATACCCACACGCAACATGAATTATATTTTGCTACAAGAAATTAAATCGACTTTTCTTCCCTCATTAAAGCTGTGACCTTGTTCCTCATTTATTTGCTCCTATGCATTATTTTTTCAGGGTCTTCCTGTCATAGCTGTTGGTGTTGGTCAAAGCACATTTGACAAGGCATCTGTAAGGATTTGCTTTCCTCTATGTTACCATGTCTGGCTAGCCTTTTCTGTAAGCTGAAAGATTGGAGAACTAATTTTTAACTTCGGAGACATGATCAAATAATACGCTCAGATAAAATGCATCGCATTAACTGGGCCACCCATTGCTAGCAGATATTGTCCTTTTTTTAGTTTTTCCTCAAGGTTTTTTAAAATGTGTTTGCTAGGGAGGGAGATGTTTTCACACCCTTATAAAGAATACTTTGTTCTTCTCCCCAATCGATGTGGGACACCCCAATCCACCCTTCATCGGATCCCAACGTCTTTGCTAGCACACCGCCCAGTGTCTGACTCTAATACCGTTTGTAACGGCCCAAGCCCACCGCTAACAGATATTTGTCCTCTTTGGGCTTTACTTTACAGGCTTCCCCTCTCAAGGTTTTTTAAAACACGTTTGCCAGGAAAAGGTTTCCACCCCTTATAAAAAATGTTTCGTTCTCCTCCCCAACCAACGTGTGATCTTACAAAATATTTGACAAAAAGTCATTACATTGGGCATATATATTCACTTCCTTTGTCCTGATATCATAGATAAGGGTAATTGATGTTACATCTCATCTCCTAGAGGAACAAGACTACAAAAATAACTAATTCCATTAAATTTTCAAAATATATTTATTTACATTGGTTCTTTTTTCTAGGTTCATTATTATGTGCAGTCACACATCCAAATGAATGAATATAGGGATCGCGTTGTGTTGGTAAGTATTTAAGATCATTCAATCACCTTTCTGACATAAATGTTATTTAATATAACATGCTCGGTTTGTTGTAGCCTGCTGCAACAAAGAAGCAGGGACGACATATAAGCACCTGCCTGAAGGTGTTGGATATGACTGGTTTAAAGCTTTCAGCATTAAATCAAATAAAGGTACTTCTTAATTCTTTATACGTCACAACTACAACATTTCCTTCAGCTCTATTTTTGGAATCAAATATTCACAAGTTTGAGAAAGCCAAAATTAGTCAAACTTTAGTTGATAGAATGAACTTTTTCCACTTTCCCACTGATGGGAAGCCCAAAACATGGTTGTTTGTTTACTCTTTGATCTTTTTCTCCTTCAGTGTATGCAGCTGTTGCTTCCTTCTACATACAGATTTGGTATTGTTAATGCAAATTTTGTTTCTTTTCATTTTTGGTTAATGCAGCTTCTGACTGTCATATCTACCATTGACGACTTGAACTATCCCGAGAAGACCGATACTTACTACATCGTAAATGTTCCATATGTATTTTCTGCTTGCTGGAAGGTTTGTGGCTATATTAATTCATCTTGGAGAAATGTTCTCAATATACTTAAATATACCAGAAAGAAAAAAATACTGGGACTGTGGGTCATCTTTAAGGGAATATGCACATTATTTGTTGTGTCCTTGCTGACAGGTCGTAAAACCTCTTTTGCAAGAGAGGACAAGGAGAAAAATCCAAGTGCTACAAAACTGTGGGCGAGATGAACTGCTAAAGGCAAGCTTGCCTCTCTCTCTCTCTCT